CCTGCGCGATCCTCCAGGAGCAGCTGGAGCATCGCACAGACGCTAGTATGCATGCGCGCACTGCGCGCGTGCACGAGGACGCTGCCGGCCCGGTTGGAATGGGGCGAGAAACCCACCCCTGCACTGTACTCTATAGTCTTTTCTAATCAAGTATCCTCCAAGGTTGCGTTTTCATTCCTATAACTCTAGTCTACTATTCAGAGGGGTTTGGCTCCATTAACTATTTTACCAGTTAAAAAAACACTGGGAAATAGTTTCATCAGAAGTTTCCTCCTCTCTTGGACCTTACATACGATTTATCTGTATTGTTGTGCACAATTAAATGAAAAAATGTAAAGATAAAGATTACCTTCATTGTAAGATTCAAAGTCACGGTGACCGTGAACACCAAATAAAAATAGATGATTTTCAGCATCCTTGAAAGAAGAGTTCCCTTTTTCATATTCATCTATGAAAAAGCAACAGACCTGTTTATTTCTCAACGGAAATTTAATACAGAGAAGTGCATAACTATAAATAATGCCTCCAACCTTACCTGAAGGTATTTTGCCAGCAAGGCTGTGGCAGCAAGGCTTAATAGAGGAGATACTAATAAAGCTGGATTTTCAAATTGTAACACATATCCCAAGAAGAGGGAAAACAGGTAGATTTTATATATTTCATGCACCTACAGATAAAGAAATAAAACATCAACATGCCTTGATTTTTAAGAAATTCTGAGTTGCAGCTGCACAATAATTTGCTCTCTGTCCTTTGTGTGTTTTTTTCCCTAAGCCCACCCCAATCCTACAGATGGCGCTTACAGAAGGCAAAGAAAACAAAGCAGAATCTGAATTTAAAAGTATATAATGAATGTGTCTGAATGTCCAGATACCTTCTCTGTCTGTGTGAACCCTATGACATCGAGCAGGAAAAGAGAGACCGCTTGGATAAATAGTAGATAATGACTGTATTCCCACATCATCATAAAAGTGTATGTTGAAGCACTAACCAGCAGGTAGCAAAATCTCTGAAAAAGAGCATAAGAAGGAAGAGAAGAAAAGGGAAACGCATTACAAATAACCAATTAAACTTAGGAACTTTGAATGTATATTGGGAACGACAAGGTTGAATTGCTTGGGAGTTTTGTTATTGTGCAGTTCCAGACGTATCTAATCAGAAACGCCACTAAATCTGCCCACTGTTTGCAGGAATGCACATTTTTCTCTGATTGCTTCCTTCCCCAGGCACTGCTAGGCTGCTTGCCTGCTTCCATCTGAAGAGACATTAATTGATGAACTCTGTTTCCCCACTTAAATTTCAGCAGTGGCTTTTCTGCAGCCACCTCTCCTGCGCTTTTCAGCTCCCTGCCCTCTGCGTGTTTTCATTCCAAGTGATTCATTACAAGTTTGGCTAGACAAGGTTGTTGGGTCAGTAATATGCAGACAGAATTTTTCATGGTTTTGCTTTAGTGTGAGCGGAGCGGTGGACCATTCTTTTCTTTTCCTTAACCATGTAAAACTGACAAAGACTTTTGCCAGTTTCCTCCTACAGCGCAAGTGATAGGGAGAATGGTAAAACAATGGGGGTGGGATGTGTATGTGTCTTCTTTTCTACTGGTCCACCAACAGGCACAACAAATGGAAAGGTATCAAGTAAGGGGGAGAAGATGTGATACAAAAGCTTTATCAATGGAAACTACGTGACCTCAAAGACTTGCCCACAAAAAAGGAAAGTGTTTGTCTTCCTGGCACAGGTAGGAGGGGCAAAGAAGCAGAGGAATCTAGCAACCAAGGGTTAGCACAGTCCAGGTAGAGCACTAGGCTATCTCTGTAGCCAAAACAGAGGAGGGTTTTTTAAATATGGAGCAGGATTTCTTAAGCTAGCTCCCTTTGCAGGCAGTTTTCACACAAGAGTCACATAGCTTAAGTCAGCAGTCCAATGTTTGAACTTACTCTTGCAAAGCAAAATGTTGAAAGTCTGTTTTGAAAGAAAAGATCAGAGAAGAAAATTTCAACAAGAGATCATAAATATCGGAAACAATCTCAAGGTCAGATGTTTTAACAGCAGAGATTGGCAGAATAGGACCACACCTTCAAAAGGGGAACTTAATAAATAGTTCCTGGTTCGGGAAGAAAAATAGGCTTTAGCAAACACTGTTATCTCTCTAAAAACCAGATGTACAAGGAGAAAACAAGAGACTGGTTCTATCCCCTCAAAAGCATATTGACCCAAAGTGATTTTTACCCATCAATTATTCTAGTTTACACCCTTTTTAAATCCATTTTTAACCATTTTATTTCCACTTAAACACTTTTCTCTTACTTCAGCTGATGAGTTTATATTATTCTTTAGATAGCCTGTTAGAGCTGCAACTTGACAAGCAAAATACGGCAGAGCCCAGTTCTCCCTAGCAGGTATTGAATAATCTATTCTTGTTGTGTCCGCTCTAAAAAGCAAGCAGAAAAAAGAAACAATGTACTGACTTACTTTATAACATGAATATTCAATTATGCAGCATGACTGAAAGAAACTACATATCTGTATTAATATTTAGAAGTGGAGACACATTTGGGGATTGATCATATAGTCATCTTAATTTATGCTTTATACAGCTAGAAACAAGTTCCACTGAAAGCAGATGCCATTTTTCACTTGCCAACCTTGAAAAAAATCTCAATATCTGAATGAGCAGTAGAAAATTCCATCTTTGTAGGGTAAACTTGGAAGTTAATAAATGTATCCACAGAGAAAGCCATGGCAACCACTTCTGTATGATACTGAGAAAGAATAGGGGTATGTCCATTTAATCATTAGGATTCAACCTTGATTTGAAGGTGAAGTTACTACAATTGCACACAGTGTCAACTGCAATGAGTTTCAGTGTATTCTTCATTCTACAAAATGGCCAAATGTAACAAAAGATCAGTCATAACAATGTGAGAAATATCTTTCTTCTAATAATTCCAATGAGAAATATTACTGAATGGAAACTGTATATATATCTGCCAAACAACATTTCCTTAAAGGTAAAGATTCCCTTTGGACATATGTGCTAGTCATTCCCGACTCTAGGGGGCGGTGCTCATCTCTGTTTCAAAGCCGAAGAGCCAGCACTGTCCAAAGNAAAAGAAAGTGTGGCAAGCCAAAGACCCAAAAGAAAAGATGGCTGCAGGACTGACACTCTCCCTCCCTCATAAAACCAGAATGCCCCCGAGCATTGCAAGCCCCACAGCACCCTGAGCATTCCCTCCTAGTTCAGAAACATGCCCGGCCTCCAAGAGAAAATTGCTCACCTGAAGAATGCAAAATGGTGGCCCAGAATTCCTTGGCCCTTTGACCAATTCCCTCTTCGATTCCAGTCAGCTTGTAGAGGGAGACTTGGTGGGGGCATTTCTGGTTACTGAATTTACATATCACCATGTCGCAGTCCTGCAAAGAGAAACAGAAATCATACCAGACCCCTAAACCAATGTTGGCTTGCATTCCAGTTCTTTCTTCACTTTTCCTCAAGGTCAAGGCCAACTCTGCTACAGTTGGACCGCTGCTTCTTCATGACAGAGCAAATCTCCAATATTGGAGCATTGGAGATTTGCTCTCTCACGAAGGACAGTGTTTCTCAACCGTGGCAACTGGAAGATGTCTTGACTTCATCTCCCAGAATTCCCCAGCCAGCATGGACATGTGAGAAGACCCAGCCAACTCTCTAGAAAAGGCTCCAAAAAACTAGGAAAGGTGGAAGGGAAGAAAAGAAGAGAATGACGAGCAGTAAAGTGGACAGTCTCAGATGTAAGGGTTTCTGACTCCCAGAAAGCTGGCTGGAGAATTCTGGGAGTTGAAGTCCAAACATTTTCAAGTTGCCCAGGCTAAGAAACACTGGCTTAGATATCCCACCACTGGCTTCAAAGGAAAGGAATTCCAGTCCCCAACGCAAATAGAGATGCCGGCAAATTGGGGAAGGTTGTTAAAGACCAAATCTAACTTCTTGCAAAGCTATCATGCAAACCAGCATCTGTGTTTCCTGCATCGGATGAGGAGAGCACATCTTTCTCCTTCTGTCCTGGCTACTTTTTACAGAGGCACGACAGAACGTCTTAACAAACTGCATCCCTGTTTGGTTTGGTGGGTCCAATGCCTCAGATAGAAAGTCCCTACAGAGAGTGGTGAGGACAGCCGAGAAGATTATAGGAAGCTTGCTTCCTGTTATACAGGATGCTGCTTATAAGCTCTATGTGCCTAGAGCTCGAAGCATTGTTAGACACCCTACATACCTATTTCATGGTCTGTTTCTGTTGCTCTCCTCTGGGAGAAGGTTTTGAAGGATTTCTAGCAGGATTACAAGATTTTGTTTATTTCCACAAAGTGGGATATATCAATCCAACTCCAGACTGAATCTGAACATCATGCTCCGGGATCTGACTTGGCACACCAAACACCGTAGACTCACAATAGCTAAGTTCACACATTTGACTAAGCTAAAAGAATATCTTTTTCTCTTCTACAGGTAGTCCTCGATTTACGACCACAATTGAGTCCAACTTTTGTGTTGCTAAGCAAGACAGTTGTTAGGTGAATTCTGCCCCATTTTATGACCTTTTGTGCCAAAGTTGTTAAGCAAATCATTGCAGTTGTTGAGACTCTGAAACCATCATAAAGTACATTCCAGTTGCCAAGTGTCTGAATTTGGATTATGTGACCACGGGGATGCTACAATGGTTGTAAGTGTGAAAAATGGCCATAAATTACTTTTTTCAATGCTGTTGTCTTCAAATGGTCACTAAATGAGTCGAAGACTGTACCAAATTTATGGTCAGGATAGGATCTTCTCAAGAAGATAACCCGGTTCCCTTGTAGACTGGCCCTTTTCATCATGGCATGATAGATTAGATAGATTAGTTTAGAAGCCCCAGAGCCCACCGTAGTAACAGCATTGCCAAAAAGGCATTAGGCGTTATTAACCTAATTTTGCGAAGCTTCTTCTCCAGTAACATTGTACTGCAAACTAGGGCATATAAAACCTTTGCCAGACCAATCCTCGGATACAGCTCATCTGCCTGGAATCCACACTGTCTATCGGACATTAATACAATCGAGCGAGTCCAGAGGTACTTCATGAGAAGAATCCTCCACTCCTCTACTCACAATAGTATTCCCTATGCCACCAGGCTTGAAAATTTGGGCTCGGACAATCTGGAACTGCTCCGCCTGCGGTATGATCTAAGCACAGTACAGAAAATTGTCTGCTACAACATCTTACCTGTCAACAACTTCATCAGCTTCAACCGCAATAATACACAGGCAAACGATCGATACAAACTCAAAGTAAACCACTCCAAACTTGATTGCAGAAAATACGACTTCAGCAACAGAGAGGTCAATGCCTGGAATGCTTTACCTGACTCCGTTGTTATAGCCTCAAACCCCCACAGCTTCAACCTTCAACTGTCTACTGTGGACCTCACCCCATTCCTAAGAAGTCCGTAAAGGGGGCGTGCATAAGCGCACCAGTGTGCCTACTGTCACTGTCCTACTGTCCCCATTTATTTGTATTCATTTCTTTCATTCATGTCCATGTTTATATTTATAACTGCTATCTTGTACATGTTTGACAAACTAATAAATACAAATACAAATACAGAATAGTATACCTGACTAACATAGGAAGCATGTGAGAAACCATGTTCGGTCAGCTGCTGAATTTCTCCAGGGTTCTCATAGCTAACGACGTATAAGTGGTGTTCCAAGGGAGAATCTCTTGTACCTTCAAAATATACCAGTTTGTTAACTTCATCCACTCGGATCTGATTAAAAAAACAAAAGCACAAAACAAATGTGAGCCACTTTTCTACCATCTAGGATACCCATGAAGCCACTTCAGTTGTACCTTTACTGCCTGACCAGGAAGTGAAGGCAGAATTACCTCGTGCTAGAATATCCTCCGCATGACTCTGCAAAGCTTTTTTTCTCTGAAATGGTATAGAGTCTCCTACTTGAGCAGGGGGTTGGACTAGATGACCTATTAAAACGCTGTGTGGAAATTAGCATCCTTGAGTTCAGCCGTAGAGTGATGGATGGATGGATTGAAGGAGGGAGGGAGGGAGGGAGGGAGGGAAGGAAGGAAGGAAGGAAGGAAGGGGAGGAATGTGGAAGGAAGAAATAGCAGGAATGGGGAAGGAAGGAAGGGGAGGAATGGGGAAGGAAGGAATAGGGAAGGAAGGAGAGGAAGGGGAAAAGAAGGAAGGAAGGGAAGAGGGGAGGAAGGGGAGGAATGGGGAAGGAAGGAGAGGAAGGGGAAAAGAAGGAAGGGAAGAGGGGAGGAAGGGAAGGAATGGGGAAGGAAGAAAGGAATGGGAGGAATGGGGAAGGAAGGGAGGAAGGGAAGGAAGGAATAACAGAGTTAGAAGGGACTTTGGAGATCTTCTAGTTCAACCTTCCTCCTCAAACAGGAGACCCTATTCCCGTGATGGCGAACCGATGGCACGTGTGCCCGAAGTGGCACAGGGAGCCATGACGCCTGGCACGTGCTGTGTCTCCCATTCCTCTTCCTGGTTTTGGCGGGCATGAGCACAAGACAATCTGCTGATTTTTGTGCGAGAGGCATTGCTGGAAACCGAAAGAGCTGATCTTCCATTTTCCAGCGTGAGCATGCGCAGTGTGATATCTATTACTTGGATTATGGAGAGGATTCTCTTAATATGAATTACAATAAAAATTAATGAGTTAACAGAAGCATATATTATTCCCCACAACAAAGAGAAGCAGAGATGGTCAAATTGGTTCTTTTATCCAAAGAAGAGAAGATATCTAAGGTTATTTCTATTTTGAAATTGCTTCTCGATGTTATGCTTGCAATGGAAAAAAAATGAACCTTTGCTTTTGCTGATTAGGTAGATTTATTGTTAAAGAAATGGCTTGTACATACTGTTGTGTAAAAGTAAAAAGTTGCCGTTGTAATGTGATCTTCTACTGTGCTAAAGAGAGTCGGAAGTCGGTGCCTTTCTCCTTCCGTCTTTACCCCAGTTTTTCCTCCCACCCCCTTTCCTAGTTTTCTCTTACTTTTTTTGAATTTCTCTTTGTATTTTATATTTTGATAAACCAACAAAAAGTTTCAAAAGTTCGTCAGCTGAAGAAAAGGGAGACAAAACCAGCTTACGTTTGAGCCGTGCCGGCCAAGCACTTCCCATTCTCCGCTGGTGAGGGGCACCTCTTCTTTGACATGACATAAGAAGTCGCCTACAAGGAGATCAAAGTTATGGGAGTCCATCGTTTCTCTTCCCCAGCTCAACCAAGCGACATCATTTCTGAACGTAGAAGAGGCACCAAGAAATTGGAACGCCATGCAAATGTCTATGGAGATTCTCAGTCATTCAGGTTGTAGTTGCCCCAAAGGTGCATTTTCAAGAGGCCAATGAACTTTCTGTTTTTTCTTTGATTCACTTCTCATCCAAGAAGCTTCTTCCATTCTATTGGATGGTGAGGAAGGAAGGATTTACATTCCTTGTGGTCACCTGGTTGTTAGCACTCTTTCAAAAGTATGGAAGAAGGGTCAAGGAGGCCATCTAAATTAAGACTGAACAGCCCTCTCTCAACAGAGGGGGAGAGATACGACATCATGTATCTCCAATCTACAACACAGTCCTTTCAGCAGTTCCAAGAAGGCTCCACACCCATTTGCCCCACTCAGGTGACCTTGAGGACAAAGGTAAATCTCCAGGTGACCCCAACGACTCTCTAAAATGATGCAAATGACCAGCTGTCTGCAAGGAGTATAAATCCTTCCATTCCCCACTAACCTTTCACCTGTTTTTAATAGGGAAGGGACACAGGGCAGAAAACATTCTGCAGCCAAGAAGTTTCCATACCTATTTGTACTACTCAAGTGACCTCAAAGACACAGACAAATTTCTAAGTGGCCTCAACGATTCTCCAAAAGGATGCAAATGACCAGCTATCTGCAAGGAGTATAAATCCTTCCATTCCCCACCATCCAGTCAGAGCTGAAGAAGCTTCTTGGATGAGAAGCGAAACGTGTTCAAAGAAAAACCAGAAAGTCCACTTGTTTCTTGAAAACAAGCATCTTGAGAGAGCCGAGGTGGCGCAGTGGTTAAATTCAGCACTGCAGACTACTTCAGCTGACTGCAGTTCTGCAGTTCGGCTGTTCAAATCTCACCGGCTCAGGGTTGACTCAGCCTTCCATCCTTCCGAGGTGGGTAAAATGAGGACCCGGATTGTTGTTGGGGGCAATATGCTGACTCTGTAAACCGCTTAGAGAGGGCTGGAAGCCCTATGAAGCGGTATATAAGTCTAACTGCTATTGCTATCTTTGGGCACCGTGCAAGTTACCGTATTTTGCGGAGTATAAGACGCACCAAGGTTTTGAAGAGGCAATTTTTTTAAAAAAAGTAAGTAGGTAGATAGAGGGATAGAGAGAGAGAAAGAAAAAAAGAGAAATACAGTAGATAGAGAGGGAGGGAGGGAGAGAGAGAGAGAGAGAGTAGGTAGGTAGGTAGATGTTTCCAGGTGTATTTATCCATGTGCTGGAGAAGGAAATCACTGACAATCTGCAGCACCTAAGACTTTGTTTCTGCTGGCACAGCACTTGATCAATATAATTCTCATCAATCAGTTAAAGAGCTTTCCAAAAGGGGGGAGAAAGTTTTTATACTCTGCAAACCTCCCCAAAATGGCCCGTTTTTCATGAAAACAGGCCAGTTTTTTGTTAAAAAAATTGCATGCATACCTTATAGAGGCTAATAGAATGCTGCTGGAGGGGGGAGGCAAAAAATGCCCCATTGTTTGCTCATTTCTGCCTTCCCCAGCCCCCAGGAGCTCTCTGAAAGCCTCCTAAAGGCTCTGCACGTCCATTTTGGTGAAGGGCTTCAGGAGGCAAAAAATGCTGTATTCGATGCATAAGATGCACCCAGATTTTCAGCCTCTTTTTTGAGGCAAAAAGGTGCATCTTATACGCCAAAAAATACGGTACTTCTTATGCCAATAAAAGATTTGGCAGTTAGACAGAGAGGGCATCGAAGGAAATTGCTCCACCTTCAGAAAAGAGACAGACCTCCACTTTACACCTGTATAATCTTGCTGCCTTACAGGTAGTCCTCAATTAACAACCGCCATTGAGCCCAGAATTTTGCTTGTAAGTTATTGCAGCCGTTAAGTGAGCCACCATGTGACATGGCTCACTTTTTTCAGTGCCGCTGTAACTTTAAATGGTCAGTAAACAAATGGCTGTAGGTCGAGGACTACCTGTATTGTATCTGAGACCTTCTGCCTGCATACCTAACTTCTTCCGTTTAGTAAGACACAGAAGCAAAATAGGGGGTTACTTGGAGTTGGAAGTCCCCCCGAGGATCGTCTGTATTTGCTCTCTTTCAAAACGGTGGAGATTTTGTACAGATGTCGGAATCCTGTTTTGCACTCGGAGGCAAAGATGAATTCTATCACATCCTCGTGAGTTTGGGGAAAAACATGGAAGATATCATGGATCTGCAGAAATAAGGAAAAGCGGCAAGTTAAGACGAAGACTAGGAAAATTGGGAGGGTGAGTTCAAACTGGTAAAGGAAATCTGCTTTATAGAATACAATGGAATGGAATGGAATATTATGATTAATATTGTTTTATTTAGTTTTCCTAGTATGATTTTATTGGTAAACTGATAAAAGAAATCTCCTTTATAAAATAGGACAGACTTCTTTATTGGCCAACTGTGAATGGACACACAAGGAATCTGTCTTTGGTGCATATGCTCTCAGTGTACGTTTTTTTAAAAATGCATTCGTCAAGAATCATAAGATACAACACTTTGTGATATAGAATACTAATATAAGCAATCAAATCATACTAGGAAACTAAATAAAACAATATCTTTATGATTTATATTGTTTTATTTCGTTTCCTAGTATGATTTGATTGCTTATTTAATATCCTGTGTCTATTGCTAAGTGTTGGTAAAGGAAATCGTCTTTACTTACAACTGTAGTTGTCACTGTCTCCTGGTGATTGGCCCAAAGCCACCCTGCTGGCTTTCATCCCTAAAGTGGGACTAGAACTCACAATCTCCCAGTTTTTAGCCTGGTACTTTCATCACTAAACTAAAGTAGCTCTCTCTACATGACTTGACTAACAACGTACACTTTCAAAAGTCCCTTTGATTTCTGTCAGTGCCACATTCATGAGCCACAGTGGTACAGTGGTTAGAGTGCAGTACTGCAGGCTACTTCTGCTGACTGCAATTTGGCAGTTCAAATCTCACCAGATTCAAGGTTGACTCAGCCTTCCATCCTTCCCAGGTGGGTAAAATGAGGACTCAGATTGTTGGGGGCAAGAGGCTGACTCTGTAAACCGCTTAAAGAGAGGGCTGTAAAGCACTATGAAGCGGTATATAAGTCTAAGTGCTATTGTTATTGCTGTTCAGCTCCTAGCCTCTGCCAAAGCCAACCAACTCTTCCTGTTGATTGAAAAGGCTTTCTTATCAAACTTCATTAACTGATTGTTTTCCCCTCTATCTCTCTGCACCCATGATGTCCCAACAATTCCATCCAAAGATAGAAAACTTCAGCAGGCCTCCCCTGAAGGAATACATGCTTACGTTTATCCAGATATCTGTTGTCTCTTCGTAAACGATCAAGGGGGTAACGGAGTCAGGCACAGCATCAATTAATTTCTGTCTTTCCATAGCATCTTCTTCCACAGGGATAAATAAGGCTGGGGGAAGCAAAGCAATCTGCAGCCGAGTTTGAGAACGATCAAGTAGGATGGCCCAGGCGCTAAGCAGAAAGGAGGGCGAATCAGAAATCCAGAAGGGGCTACCACTATTACAATATTACTTGATGTTTTACCCAGGAGTGAAATCCAGCAGGTTCTGGAGAACTGATAGCGGAAATTTTGAGTAGTTTGGAGAACTGGCAAATGCCATCTTTGGCTGGCCCCAGAGTGGGGAGGGAATGGGGATTTTGCAGTATCCTTCCCCTGGAGTGGGGAGGGAATGGGGATTTTGCAGTAACCATCCTCTGGAGTGGGCTGGGAATGGAGATTTTGCAGTATCCTTCCCCTGGAGTGGGGAGGGAATGGAGATTTTGCAGTAACCATCCCCTGGAGTGGGGAGGGANCCCTGGAGTGGGGAGGGAATGGGGATTTTGCAGTAACCATCCCCTGGAGTGGGAGATTTTGCAGTATCCTTCCCCTGGAGTGGGGAGGGAATGCGGATTTTGCAGTATCCTTCCCCTGGAGTGGGCTGGGAATAAAGATTTTGCAGTATCCTTCCTCTGGAGTGGGGATGGAATAAAGATTTTGCAGTAACCATCCCCTGGAGTGGGCTGGGAATGGAGATTTTGCAGTTTCCTTCCCCTGCCACGCCCACCAAGCCACACCATGCCCACCAAGCCACGCCTACAGAACCGATAGTTAAAAAAATTGAATTTCACCATTGGTTTTATCTCCTGGAGCTGAAATGATGGAGAGGAAATTCCTGAAGTTATGGGGCTTCAATGACTGGAGGTATTCAAGAAAAGACTGGACATCCTGGTCTGGTCTGAGGATTCTCACACTGGGTATAAGGTGGACTAGAGACCTCTAGGCTCCTTTCCATCCTGAGGATGCTATGAACCACCAGGGCTCTGAACAGGCCAGTCCAAAGGTGAGCAAATGGAGGAAATATAAAATACGTACTATTTCCCCTCTCGTGTCCATCCTGCCCTGGCGATATATTCCACTCCGTCGAATAAGATTTCAAAGGGTTGGACCAGTTCTTTGTCAACAGCACCCAAAATCTTTGGGGAAGAGGGGAAAACACCAATTAGGAAAACTACTAATACCTTTCTCCAAATATATTAAGAGGCATGGATGAAAAACAAATGAAAAATAAATTCTGGATAAATAATAGAACTTGGTCATAATCTCTTTCCAGGAACCTTCACAGGTTTCATAGTTTGTAACTTGCTCTTAACTGGCTCCCATTATGTTGTTTTGAATCTTTAGGGTAGGAATGGTCTGTAACAAAGCCCATTAATCCTACTTTTCTGCTTTCCTTGGAGTTTCCTCAGCCATAGATAGTGGCACAATCTGCTATTTTTAAACAGGAAACGTAGAAAACCTTGAGTGTTTAAAACCCTAAATTTGGTATAATGTAAGAACCACTTAGAAGGAAGAGAGAAAGAGAAGAGGAGGGAAGGGAAAGGAAGAAGAAAGAATGAAAGGGAAGGAGAAAGAAGGGAAGAAAAAAGAAGGGAAGGGGAAAAAAGGAAAGGGAAGGAGAAAAAAGGGAAGGAAAGGGAAAGAGAAAGAAGGGAAGGGAAGGAGAAAGAAGGGAAGGGAAGGAAGAGAAGGAAAGGGAAGGAGAAAGAATGGAAGGGAAGGAGGAAGGGAAGGAGGAAGACAGAGAAGGGAAGGAGAAAGAAAGGAAGGAGAAAGAAGAGAAGAAGGAAGGGAGGGGAAGGAAAAAGAAGGAAAGGAGAAAGAAGGGCAGGGAAGTTCTTGTCTTACATGCAGATGCAATGACCTTCTATAACACATGCATTTCAAACTCGGCAACTTGAAGATTTTGGACTTCAACTCCAGAATTCCCCAGCCAGCAAAATATATGGACTGGCTGGGGAATTCTGGGAGCTGAAGTCCAGATATCTTCAAGTTGCCAAGTTTGAAAAACACTTTTCTAACCCTTTGATGTGATTGCCTCATCCACTCTAACCAATTTTTAAATCTTCAAAAGTTTCCTGATCCTGTGTTCTTTCTCATCCATTACCTGACCAAGTGGCTGGGCATGTTTTTCAAATTAACCCACAACTCGACATGTCCCATAACACCACCTGACTAAAGCCTGGTTTGAAATCACCACTAATTTTCCTAGAAACCAGAGTGACTTGTTCATGCTAAGTCATCAGCCCCCAACTCGATGCGTGAAGGCCAAATCAACCCCGTTGTGGCTTTGTGCATTGTGGAACCAAACTATGGTTTGTAGCGAGGTGTTTTGTGACTTTGGACATTACAGCTGATTCAATGCACCACAATTCAAACAATACAAGGCATCACATCAGGAGTGAAATCCAGCAGTTCTGACAGGCTCAGGAGAACCGGTAGTGGAAATTTTGAGTAGTTTGGAGAACGGGCAAATACTACCTCTGGCTGGGCCCAGAGTGGGGAGGGAATGGGGATTTTGCAGTATCCTTCCCCTGCCACGCCCACCAAGCCACACCCACAGAACTGGTAACAAAAAAAAAATGAATTTAACTATTGTATGATAGACATTTATTCAAGACATAAAAAAACAGAGCAGGCTTACTCTGCCGTCAGATCCAATTGTTATTTCAGATAACTTGAAAGTGACTTTGGGATTTGTGGTGCCTATAAGAGGGGGGGAAAATAAGAGTTACAGAGGAATTAAAGGCTCCTGATTATGTTTGTTCTCGAAGGTCAGTTGGTACCCAGATCCTGTTGTGTTTCTTTACCTCAAGCCACTTCAAGATGTATGGACTTCAACTCCCAGAATTCTCCAGTCAGTCCACACATAACTGGCTGGAGAATTCTGGGAGTTGAAGTCCATATATAACTGGCTGGAGAATTCTAGGAGTTGAAATCCACACATAACTGGCTGGAGAATTCTGGGAGTTGAAGTCCACACATAACTGGCTGGAGAATTCTGGGAGTTGAAGTGCACACAGAATTGGCTGGAGAATTTTGGGAGTTGAAGTGCACACAGAATTGGCTGGAGAATTCTGGGAGTTGAAGTCCACACAGAAATGGCTGGAGAATTCTGGGAGTTGAAGTCCACACATCTTGAAGTGGTTGAGAAACACTGCTTGAAGGCATCACTGCATCACTGGGCCCTTTCTGGAATGTCCCACCAGGTTCACTCACCTGTCTTGGGATACCGAAAAGAATCTGTCCTCCTGGTTTCCAACATGGGGGATGTGACGTGAATAACTTCCACCTCTGACTCGTCGTTTTCTTCGTACAGAATCCTAAGGATTTTTCCTCCTCCAACAGCTACCAAGAGAGAAACCAGAGAAAGGCCAATGTATTCGACTTCTCCCCAACAGCTGCCTGACCTCTGATTCTGTCTGATGGTTCACCTTCCAAGGGACAACCCAACTTGGCTTGAGTAAAGTGCACTTTTGCTAATCATGAGTTCGAGGGACTTTCTGTTCTAATGGGCCAAGGGGGGAGGGCTGACATCAGGGAAGTTAAGGAAGTTTCTTAAGCTGCCCACCGTGATTGCTTACTTGGCTCAGCTGCCGGGCACCACCAGTAGCCCGTGTATCTGTCAAACTCCTCCTGTAGCACAAAGGTAGCGACGCCAGCCGACTTGGGATCCTCTTCAACGTTGGCAAGTTCTGTGCAAGCAACATAAGAGGCAAAAGAAAGAAGATAAGTGACGGTTGCAAGCTGCAAAATGTCCATTAGGAGCCGCGGTGGCACAGTACTGCAGGCTACTTTTGATGCCAGCAGCAACTGAAAACCAACATTTATGACCTCTGCAACAAAGGTTGTAAAATCAGATCGATCATCTGGGTGACCCAATTTATGACTATCATGGCTTAAGATGATGATATGCAGGCTCTGTTACAGTTGTAAGCCAAGGACAACCTGTAACTGAGTTTAAATTTTAAGTAATATGCAACACACTGGTAGTTCGAAGGGACCACACTGAAGAGCTGAGGCTGGGAACCCCCAAAAACACATTCAGAGAAGGAGGGCTTTGTTTAGGAAGCCCAATCATGATTTAGAATCAGAATGAACTAATCAGAGACAAGAAAATAAGCCATGGTTTGGTCTAATCCAGTGATGGTGAACCTTTTCGGCACTGAGTGCTGAAAAGGGAGCGTGTGCATCAGGGGTGGGTTCCTGCCAGTTCTAACCTCTTCTATAGAAGAGGTTCCACAAATCTACAGTGCCGTTTGGAACCGGTTCCAGCTCCCTCCCCCGGCCCGTCTGCACATCATCAAGATGAAGAGCGAGAGGAGGAATTCTGGGAGTTGAAGTCCACAAGTCTTAAAGCTGTCAAGTTTGAACACCCCTGGGGGGGGGTTTCTAAAGGGTTAGGGGTGCAAGGGTCTTGTAACTTGACAGCTTTAAGACTTGCGTGCTTCAAATGCCAGAGTTTCTGAGCCAACATTTTGGTTGCTAAGCAAGAGCGTTGTTAAGTGAGTTTCACCACATTTTACAAGTTGGCCATGCCCACCCAGTCACATGGCTGGCAAGCCACTCCCACCCAGTCACATGGCTGGCAAGCCACTCCCACAAAGCAGGCCACACCTACAGAAGAGGTTTTAAAAAATTTTGAAACCCACCACTGGTGCGCATGCTTCATACTTGTGCACACACATTCATCAGGGCTGCAACCCAGAAGAGGAGCTGCCCAGGGAAATGCCGGAAAATGAATGGTTTCTGGCACACACATGTGCACCACCCAGTTAGTTTTCCAGTCACTGGAGTGCATGCGAACACAACAATCAGCTGCCCGGCATGCATGTTCACACTGGAAAATGGAAAACCAGCTCTTCCAGTTTCCGGGATTGCCTCACGCACAAAGACCAGCTGACTGTCGTGCACACATGCACGCCAGAAACCCAGAAGAGGAATGGGCAACACCGTGAATGCTAGGCGACATGGCTCTGCGTGCCACTTTGGACACATGTGCCATAGGTGTGATAACGGGTCTAATCGGTTCCCATGAATAATTCTGCAGATATCTGGTGGGGAGAGTTTCGTTCATCCACTATGCTAATCCAAAACATCTTTCATCTCTGCACATCCAGTCAACTCTACTTTATTCAATAAACCACCATTCAACAAACCACAGATCAGCCAGCATCACCTTTATGTACAAAGGTTAACCTCTGCTCTTCTTTGGTTGCCAGGTTGGAGATCCAGATATCGTTGCTATGAATAAAGGCAGTCCAGTTGGCGTCTGCGGGGCAAATCTTCGGATCCATCCGAATATTCGGGCAACTGGTCTCAACCAGATTGGGCTGCAAAGGTTGTTGCTATAATGATAAAAGAACGTGGAAAGGACTCTTTTGAATCACGTACTTGCCTCCCTGGGACCACTGGCCCACGGTAGTAAAGGGTCAGAGTGCAGTAGTGCAGGCTACTTCTGCTGACTGCTGGCTTCCTGCAATTTAGCAGTTCAAATCCCACCAGGCTCAAGGTTGACTCAGCCTTCCATCCTTCAGAGGTGGGTAAAATGAGGACCCAGATTGTTGGTGGCAAGAGGCTGACTCTATAAACCACTTAGAGAGAGTTTAGAATAAAGCACTGTGAATCGGTATATATAACCAATAGTAAAAAAAATTGAATCCCTCCGCTGACCCAGGCCCTTCTCCAACATTTATGGTGGACTTCCATCCAGCAGCAAACCTCTCATCCTCTTCCCTATCCATCCAGCAGGATCAATTTTCTCCTCCCTGCGTCTCCAGAAAGCAAATTACACTGTTCAGTTCTAACTGGCACACAACACTTACCGTAAACCCATTTGGGCCGCCATCTTTGACATGGTAGATCCCACTGCCAGCTTGGAATAAAAAGGTGCCACTTTCCCGGTGATAATCGTAGGAGGCGATCCCAATGGTGCCGATGCGTTTCCTCTCCCGCAGCAGCTCCTCCTCTCGCGAGTACATCCCATAATCCAGGCTGGCCTGATGAGAGAGGACAGGGACAGAAGGAACGTGTGGCAAAACTAAAACTGTTTATTACAGATAGTCCTTGACTTATAACCATCTGTTTAGTGCAGTGTTTCTCAACCTTGGTGACTTTACGTCCTGTGGACTTCAACTCCCAGAATCCCCCAGCCATGCTGGGGGATTCTGCTGGCTGGGGGATTCTGGGAATTGAAGTCCATAGGACTTAAAGTCGCCAAGGTTGAGAAACACTGGTTTAGTGACTGTTTGAAATTACTATGGCACTGAAAAACTGACTTATTACTGTTTTTCACACGTACAACCGTTTCAGCATCCCTGTGATCATGTGATCAAAATTCAGATGCTTGGCGACTGACTCATATTTATGACGGTCACAGTGTCCCAGGGTCATGCGATCCCCTTTTACGGCCTTCTGACAAGAGAAGTCAACTGGGAAGCCAGATTCACTTAACAACTGTGTTACTAACTTAACAACTGCTGTCATTCACTTACCAACCGTGGCAAGAAAGATTGCAAAATGTGGCAAAACCCACTTAACAAATGTCTCACGTAACAACATACATTTTGGGCTCAATTGTGATCATAGGTCAAAGACTTCCTGTACGTAACTTCATTTGAATTACTTCAAAGCAACAATAACCCTGCAATTCATAATTAAGGGGCTGGACTAGAAGACCTCCAAGGTCCCTTCCAATCCAGTTATTCTGTTAAGCTTCTCCCCGATATCGAAGCTGGTGATCCAAAGCAAACCTTTCAAATGACTCAGGCAAAAAGCTATTGATTAAAATTAAACACAGCCTAGGAAAAAGTACTTTGCATTTTTAATAAGTGAAAAAAGCAGAAAGCAAGAAGAACTGTTAGCACTATCAAGATATGGGTGTAACCCTGAAGCTGGCCGAACTGTGGCCATTTTCTTTTTATAGTTTTCTCAAGGGAGATTTCTCTCCTCACTGCTTCAGGGCTGACACAGCCTGGAGCGAAGGGGCCAGGGACTGGTGGTGTAGGGATAGCTGGGGTGTTGTAGCCTAAATAAAATTCTTTCCCCTGGGAACCAAGGACATTGATGCAGGGGTTAGAAAGATGGAGACTGGGGTCATCTGGCAAATGGATTGTAGGCCGATTGGACCCTGTGACTGGGGACTCTGTGGGAAAGTGACAAAGTTTTACTTTTAATTGGGTGTAAAGCCGGCAGAAACCTAGAGCCGGTTTTCCACCATGTCTGTGCCAATTTGATACGTCCCAAATAAAATATTCTTTGAGGAATATGGCTGCCTCTGAGTTCTTATTGAATGGGATGTAATACTTGAAACCTTGACAATGAGTCTATATGAGAATTCGCTATGGCCAACTCACCATGATCCACTTGCCACAGCCAACTTGCGGCAGAATAACTCACTATGGCTATTTCACTAGAGGACAACTGGCTGGGGGACAAGAGTTACTGCACGAATATCAAAGAAATGGTGGAATAGAATCATTAAAGAAAGGATGCAAAAGGAGGAACAGAGTAAAATGTGAATGGTAAAAATTAAAATATTTTTATTTTATTTTAAATAATTAAATAGAATTGTTACATTGTCCCATTTCATTTCTCATTTATTATTTTTTCTCATTTATTAAAATTTATAGGCCGCCCTTTTCCCTGAGGGGA